CCTGAGCCGGGGGTGGCCTGACGAGGTGCTGGTTGACCATCCTGTGGGCTTCTCCGCTGGGCGCTGCCCTCCCTGCCCAGCGGCCTGCATCACAGTTGTGGTAATTGACTTTTCTCTTTCCTCCTATCCCCCTCTCCCTTCCCATTCAGGAACCAGGAATGGGTTTCGCTGTTGCTATTTCTCAGAACTAATAATATGCTCTTCCATGAGCAGAGTGGGGCCCACAGCCCGTTCTTTCTCCCAAGAGGACCTGGCAATTCCATGATGCATTGGGCAGAGGTTTCTAGGGCTCAGGCCACTTAATGCAGAACAAATAACTGTGCAGATATGGAGGCTGGGAGTTATTCTCACCCAAATGTTCTGCTGACCTCAGCGTATGGACAGGCCATTACACCACGCACAGGGGCCATTTTGTGGGGAGGAAGAAGAAGGATGGGGATTTTTACAAATGTGCAGGACGATGTTTATTAGGTCTCCACCTCCTGGACTCTTCCACTTAAGCCATTGCTCCCTATTTGTCCTGCAGTAAATGCCCCGGGTCCCCTTAGTCTTCTTCAGGCTCTGAGGCTTTTCAAGTGTGGACATGATTCGGTCATCTTTCGCTGAATTGAAGAACTCTAAAAATTCTAAAAAGCTTTTAGAAAAACCATGATAAGATTTCATCACTAGTTACCTGGTGCCAGATGGGGTTGATTCCCTGAGCCTGGGGACTGACCCACAAAGTGGCTATAACAAGTCAGCGCCCAGCGTCACCCTGTTCTGTTAGCAGTGGTAGTTATCTGTACAGGTCTGCAGCAACCTCAATTCTTGCTTCCCCAGAAAAAAGAATTCAACCGAGGGGCATAAGAGCAGAAGGAGAGACCAAAGCAAATTTTGGAGCAGGAGTCAAAGTTTACTAAAAAGCTTTAGAGCAGTAAAGAAAGGAAGGAAAGAAAGGAAAGTACTCTGGAAAAGGGCCAAACAGGTGACTTGCGACCAAGTGCGTGGCTTGACCTCGTGACATGGGATTTTATACATTGGCATACTTCTGGGATCTTGCATCATTTCTCCTGACTCCTGAGATCTTATTGGGAAGCTGCTGATCACCAGTTCCAGGTGTTTTCTCCCTGCTAGGAGACTGCCTTTCGCAGGTGCTGGCTGTGACCAATTACTGCCTTAGAGAGACAGTTAACAACTGCCCGACCACAACCTGATGGTCACCCAACACTCTTGATGTGTGCATGGAGAGCCTTCTCCTGCCGTGCTCATACCTGGCTAGCTACCTACTGTAACAGCTTAACATAAGCTTCTGATATCCACTCAGATATGAGCACCAATAAAGCCAATTCAAGTCAATTTCTTCTGCATCTTCTACGCATTTGCTATGGACACAGAGACTAGGGAGCCCACCACTGGATGGGAGATGGAAGGATCTAATATGTGAGCCCACTGTGAAAAGCACTCCAGGAGAAGTCCAAAGGGATGACGCCATGTGCTGCAGGGGGCCAGGTGGTAGGGGGCTGTAGCCCCTGGGAGTGCATGTGTGACCATCTCGGGCTCAAGTCCTGGGTCAGCTGCAAAGTGCTGTGACCTTGAGCAAGTTACTTCTCCGTGTCTCATTTTCCTCTTCCAAAGGATTGAGGCAGAGATTCTGAGAGGGTCATGTAAGGATCAAAGATAAGAGTATCAAGTGCTGGCATGTGCTAGGCTTTCTACAAATATGATTCGCAAGTGGCTGCAGCTGTGTGTCCTTGAATGACTCACCCCAGTCCACGGTCCTATTTCATCATCTGTAAAATGTGAGATTTACAAGCTCATGGTGTTAGTCCAAATCTCAGGTGTGTACAGAGCAGCAGGTGTTTTCATCTTTTGTAAATCAGTTGAATTTCTGCTGAGTTTCTGCAGTATGCCCCCATCTTTCGAGAGCACAGAAAGGGGTAGCTGAGTCTGGCATCCAGGACCATCGTCCAGGAGAGTTTGCTGCCGAGTCAGGCTGCGCCACTGGTGATGTGAGGCAGTGGTGCGCCCCTCCCTTCCTCCCCCACTGGCCCTCCTGCCTATCCCTGCCTTCCTTCCCAAGGTTGAGGGGAAAAATCTTGGTCATTTTTGTCAATGCCCATTGTTGTGCTTTGATCCAGCTGACTCTCCAGCATGCCAAGTCTCGGAGCTGAGCCTGGTGGTCTTTGTTGCCCCTGCCCCATCCCCCAATGCTTCTGTGCCCTGTCTGGGCCAACCCAATGTTCTGGAAGCTGCCTTAGTTATACTCCCCGAGACAAGCCACACAGCCCCTCTTCTCTGGGCTTGCCACTTCCCTGGGTACCATCATGGAGCAGGGCTCAAGGCCCTGTCACTCAAGACCTGCCTGTCTCTCTTGCTTCTTTCTTCTACATCCTCCAAGGAGCCTTGGGTTCTCATACGGGCTTAGTTTTAGGCAACAGTACCCTGAAAACCCTGCAGGTGACTTCTCCTTTCTGCCCTGCACACACCTTTTGTGAGGCGAAGAAAGGCAGAGCAGGCTTTTCCTTTCATGAGATAAAGAGAAAGCAAAACAGGCTTTCTACATAAGACTCTCAGAATATTATTGAGCCCCACTAAAAATCTATAATATTTATGGTCTATTTACTTAGTGTCGGACACCATGCATTTATTCCTTTAGAAATCTCCATTTCACAGATGAGCAAACAGAAGTTTAGAATGCTTAACTAAGTTTCCACGTCACTCAGCTAATAAAAAGTGGAGCTGGGGCTGGGCGCAGTGGCTCATGCTTGTAATTCCAGCACTTTGAGAGGCCAAGGCGGGTGGATCACGAAGTCAGGTGTTTGAGACCAGCCTGACCAACATGGTGAAATACCGTCCCTACTAAAAATACAAAAATTAGCTGGGTGTGGTGGCACGCACCTGTAATCCCAGCTACTTGGGAGACGGAGGCAGGTGAACCACTTGAACCTGGGAGATGGAGGCTGCAGTGAGTGGAGACTGCGTCACTGCACTCCAGTCTGGGCAACAGAGTGAGGCTCTGTCTCAAAAAAAATAAAAAAAGGAGCTGGAATATAAACTTGGGTCTCTTTGACTCTTTTTAATTCTATCACATGACCTTCCCTGTACCCTAAAAGCTTTTTGCAGTTCGTGGCCTGCCTGGATAAGCTCTCCTAATGCTTTGTGTTCTCTGGGTCACAGTTCCTAATAGCGTGCGCTTGAATGTTGTTAGACTGATCCCAATCTTGTGAACAAACACAGAACAATTAGGGCTAAGCGATCGTTGATTCTTGGCTTTGAGAGCCACCTTCCAGTGGAAGCGTTGGCTGAGCCTGATGTCCAGGGTCATTGTTCAGGAGAGTTTGCTGCTGGGTTTAGGCGGGGCCACTGGTGACATGAGGCAGAGTGGTGCGGCTCTTCTTCCTCCTGATCTTGCTAACCCCAGAGAGTTCCAGCTCTAGATGTTGCAGACAGGGTCCACTGCTCACAGATATTACTATCCCGTGGGGTGCCCAGAGGTGGGGAGGAGTGAGCTCGAAACAGAGCTACCTCCACACCTGATTTTGTAAACACGTCGGGCCCTGTGATGTAGTGTGCAGTGTGTTACAGGACACTTTCAAGCTCTGTCTTCATTCCAGGCAAACCCTTTGACCAATCTTTGCCTCCATCTCCTTGCCTGCAGGACATCATAAGGATGTTGCCTGCTACTTCTCCGCCTCCTCCTCAAAAGTAGTGGCAAAGCCATGCACTCATTCATTTGCTTAACCAAACGTTCCTTGAGCAACTACTATGCATCACGCTTGGTGCTGGTGTGGGAGGAAGCACCGCTCAGAGGCTGGGCCATCAGCTCAGGACATGCAGGCCCTGGCCTGGCAGTGCGGCCTCCTCGGGGAAGAAATCAGGGAGCAAACTGTGCTATTGCGCGTTGACTTTGGTCTCTGCTCCTGGCATTTGGGGAGGGTGGGGGTCACAAGACAGCTGGATGTGTTTGTGGCCCCTTCCCAGGGCATGGGGAGTAGCAGTGTCCTGGCCTTCTGGGGACTTGGCCGTCGACTTTGTGAAGGGATGAGGCAGGCTGGGAGGCATTGCCATGGTGGGGATCAAATCTTGCCGCATTCCTAACTTCTGATACAAAACAGCAGTTCTGTTTATTGGCCTCCTGAGGCTCCCTCCTGAGGCCCTTGCAAATCAAACGTATGCAACTCCAGAGCCTATCCCTCTCCGTGGCACCAGTGTTTTTGGGGCTACCACATGCCAGCCTTTTTGCTTGTTCCTGCCCTGTCTTATACCCCCAGCAGGCCTCCCTCTCCACGTGGACATCTGTCCTGGGATCAGGCGGCTGGCATCGTGCTCTCCCACTCTCCCATGGACCTGAAGCCCTTGCCTTCCTATGTTGCCCACCTCACCCTTACTCATCCCGATTTGCCACGTTAGCCTCCCCTGGTCTTTGGAACGTGATCTGCTCCGACAGCTTCATGGCTGTGGCCTTTGCTTTCCTTCTTATCCCGACTCTCTTTCTAGCTACAGACCTCAGAGAATCTCTGGCCTCTCTGGCCTGGACTCCAGGGGTCTCTGCTCAACACACCCCCTGCACGTGTGCTTCTGAGAGGCTCTGTCTGCACACTCGAATGGGACTCAGAGCTCGAGTCTTGGCCTAAGCTGTTCCCTATCCTGACTATCCTTGCCATATTTCCCTTCTTATTCTATGTGGGGGCACTTGTCTGCTTTTCTAGTTCAGCCCTGCCCCATTCTTCCAATGCCAGTGTGATCTGGGATTGACTTACCTCTCCCCTCCTCAGCACCCTTCCACCGTGGAACCAGGGCCTATGTCCCTAGGGGTGCAGGGGGCTCCGGCCTGCCTTCTCTCTTAGACTGTGCTCTGTAGGAGCGGAGAGCACACGTGCTCTGTGTTGGAAACCCCAAGCTCCACTCACAGGAATGACAGAATGAGTAATTCCTCTCTGCCACAGATGCCACATTGGGGGAAGACTGAGTCCCCTGCCACTGGAAAATTGGGCTGGGGGCAGATTCATGGATAGGGCAGGATGCCGGCTTCCAGTGAAGTCAGATCCGAGGAGGGGAGGCAGATAAGGTTGGAGTGGGACCTGTGGGGAGCAGGCCTCTTACGGAGCAGAAGGTGGAACATGGAACACATTTCTGGCAGCGGCGTCCCCTGTGCTGGCTCAAGGAGTCCTGTTTGGAAGTGGGGAGCAGGTCAGAGAGGCCTATGTTGACATGTCTCAGTCTGAAGACCCGGCATGTATATTTTTCAACTTTGAAGTCCCTGGAATACAGATATTCTGAGATAACACTCATAATACCTAAGACCCATACTGATAAGGGCCACGAATGGCCTCATTCAGTGTGAGTGACCCTTATCAGCATGAGCCGTAGGTGTTCTGAGCGTTATCTCACTGTGTTTGTGGACTGACCTGCAGTCGGGGCCTTTCTCTGAAGTCTGGGCTTCTAGCCACAGGGCACCCAGCTCCCTCTATAAAGGCCGTGAGGTGGACGCTGGCTGGAGTAGTGGACAGCCCGTGGTCCAAGATGAGGGGCTTCGTGGTGCTCCTTGCAGCCTTTGCTCTCTCCCAGGCCAGTGGAATCAGCAGGTGAGTTCAGAACCCAGGGGAGGGCAGGGAGATCTCATCATTCTTTCTGGGAGGTCTGTCTTTGGTCTTCCAGTCATTGGTCCCCAGGGAGTCTTGGGAGGAATGCTGCAAACTCCCAGGACAACAGCTCCCTGTCAGTCTTGCCTTTGCACGCTGGGACCTTTGCTTCTGTCTACCCCTGCACTTCAGAGTGTGGTGAAAAGAACAGGGAGCCAGATGGGCAACTGGGGAGATAGGGCATGGCTCTGGAGTCAAACCGCCTGGGGTTTGATCCCCAGCTCCATCACTAACTTAACTCTCTGTGCCTCAGTTTCCTCATCTGTTCCTAAAACTTAGATAATGGTAGTGTCCATCTCATAGGGATGCAAGGATTATAGGAGTTAATATTTAAAAAATGCTTCAAATGGTACACACTGTAAAAGCTATATATGCGTTTGTTAAATAAAATTAAGTTCCCTATTGTACTAAGTCCTTTGTGGGTGAAGATAACAGGTTCTCCTCCCAAAATAATTGACATTGATGGAGCTGTTTGCTCCTAGGTGCCAAGCACTTCACTAAGTCCTTACCTATGCTATCACTAATCCTCATGGATTAGGTAGATATTATCATTTGCATTTTACAGATGAGACACTGTTGTTCAGGAGGGGCTCCTAAGGAGGGCCCCTGAGCTGTCTGAGGCTGCTTGGCTAGTAATGGAGGAGCTAGGACTGGGCCTCAGGTGGACTCGCACTCTTGCCATGACATCACACGTAACCTGCAGGTGCTCAGGTTTGAGTCTGGGCAAGCCCTGAGCACAGGGAAGCCCGGATCCCTCCCTGGGAAAGCCGGGTCCCTTAAAAGGGGTCAAGGTGCCTCCAACTGGCCAAGAATCTTTGCCGCAGTCCTGAAAATAAAGTTCCTCCAGGTCCCAGGTGTGCTAGCTGCCCCAGCACTTGGGATGTGAACAACCTGTGAAAACCGATGCTCTCTGAGAGTCTTAGCACTGCTGCCATTAGACGGCTCTCAAACCACTTTGACATCTGTAGTCACATCTCAAGTTGTTCTTCAAACCAGTCTCACAAAGGAGGACCACATGGTTCTTAGAGGTAAAAGGGACCGTGGGAATCACTGAGTTCTACTTCTATCTACAGGAGAGGAAACTAAGAACCAGAGAGGTCGAGCCACAGGGCTGGTCAAAGGCAGGGCCAGGAGAACAGCTAGAAAGGAAGGGGTTACCTAAGGGAGCTGAAGCTCTGAGGGCTTTGAGGAGCCGCCCAAGTAGACACAGAAGGGCAGCGCCAGGTCTAGAACTAGCTTCTGCGTTTCCTCTCTTGATCTCTTCACCGTTGATCTGCCGCCATTGTCTAAAACTCAACCTTCCTCAGGAGGCCCCTGTGAGACCAGGCTCTGTGCTGAGAAACCTTTTGATAATTTTCCACCCATCTTAGGGAAAAAGCCACCCAGAGAGCGGAGAAACGGGGTTAGCAGAGGGCAGGATTATTGTGGTCGAATTTGCCAGCGTGTGGAGACGCCGTTTTCTGCTGCAGACAGTGCCCTCCCGGAGGGCAGAGATGTTTCCTTTTCAGTATCATGTCCCCTGGGCCCTGTACAGTGTCTGGCACAGCAAGAATTTGGTGACTGAATGAGTGATAATGTGCTTGGTGTCTTTCAAACCATGGGTTTCAAAACTCATTAGTGGGTTGCAAAACACTTCTAGTGGGTCTCCATCAGCATTAAAAAAAGAGAACGCAATAGAAAATATTAGAGGGTATTGCGGTTTGTAAGGATAGGCATTGATTTTTGAATTGATGTAAAACACATTTCTTACTTTGAGTTATGATTACAAAAAAGTTTGAAAGCCACTGGCCTGAGGTCAGCGGGCCATTGATTGGAAGGCTGGCTGGGAACAGAGTGTAGGGAGTGGTTTGTGGAGCCCACTTCTGGGAGGGTGAGCAGCCTGCGGGAGATGCACACCCTCCTCACAAATTCTTCCCCATCTCCTCAGGATTCCTCTGCACAAAGGGAAGTCGCTGAGGAAGGCCTTGAAGGAGCATGGGCTCCTGGAAGACTTCCTGAAGAATCACCGGCATGCAGTCAGCCGGAAGCACTCCAGTTCTGGGGTGGTGGCCAGCGAGTCTCTGACCAACTACCTAGATGTGAGTGGCTCTGCCATCTTTTCCACTAATCAAGTGGAAAGTGCCCCTTGACTCCTGCCTTGCCACAGCGGCTCCTCTTCCAGAAATCTTGGAGCCTGTGGTAGAGGCGGTCTCCCTGCCCTCAGTCAGCTCCACAAGGGGCTGGCCACCCAGCAACGGCAGCACTCCTGCCTGCCAGCTCTGAATGCCACCAGGAGGGTCTGAGAGGGCCTGAGCTCAGGCACCTTCCTCACACAACGTCCCCAAGGGTGCATGAGCTGCTCACCCCCCCACCATCCAACCTCACACCTGCCTTCCCGGCCAGGGAAGCCCTGTCTCAGTCTGACTCAGCAGGGATGGAGACAGCTGGTGCCATTCTGCAGCTGCCCAGGACTCGGCCGCCAGCTTGCTCTTCCCCCCACCCAGGACCCAGGCAGGGGCGCCCTGCTGCCCTGTTCTTTCCTGGAGCTTGTCTTCCCTCAGCCGTCACTCTTGTCAGTAAACAGCCAGGCTTTTTTCTATTCTGTGCTCTCAGTTCCCTATCTAGGTCATCTCCGCTGCCCGCCCCCAGCCTCGGCTCTGACAGTGGGGAGAGCTGGCATGGAGGCGCGCGTGGCAGGGGCCGCTTGGGTTGGGACTTGGGGCTCACACCTAGCTGATGCCCCACCTCTCTGTCCAGGTTCCTTTTGCCCTGGTAGGGGTGGCCCATGTCCCACCCAGGCAGGATTTACATTTAGGTCCCAGGTCTGCTTCTGAGGCGGATTCCAGCGGTGGTTGCATGGCCTGTGGGAGGATGAGGCCAAGTGTGGCTGGGCTGGGAGCCCAGGAGAGGGCTGGAGGTCAAGAACCCTCCTCAGCATCTTCCCTCTCCTTCTGTTTCTTCCCCCTTGAGATACCTAGGCTTCTGGGCAGAAAGCACAGGGCCTCCACAAGTGCCTGCACTCCCTGCCCAGCATTAACCCATACCCTCCTGCCCCCTGGTGCTCCCACCTCTGACCCAGTGCCGTCTGCCCTCAGTGTCAGTACTTCGGGAAGATCTACATCGGGACCCCTCCCCAGGAGTTCACCGTGGTGTTTGACACAGGCTCCTCGGACCTCTGGGTGCCCTCTGTCTACTGCAACAGTGATGCCTGCCGTGAGTGACCGCTCTCTTCTGCCCCAGCGCCTCATGTTCGGATGCCCAGGCTGAGTGGCCAGGGTGGTCAGGGTGGCTGGGGGGAAATGTGGGGTGGCAGGACAGCTGGCTCTGACCTTCTCAGCCTCCCAGTTGTGGTCCATCTCCTCACTCATCCTCCCAACTGACCACAGATTTGGAAGATTTGAAAACCATGGGTCTTGGCCGGTGCAGTGGCTCACATCTATAATCCCAGCACTTTGGGAGGCTGAAGCAGGTGGATCACTTGAGGTCAGGAGTTCAAAACCAGCCTGGCCAACATGGTGAAACCCCGTCTCTACTAAAAATGCAAAAAATTAGCCAGCCGTGGTGGCAAGCACCTGTAATTCCAGCTACTTAGGAGGCTGAGGCAGGAGAATTGCTTGAACCCAGGAGGCGGAGGTTGCAGTGAGCTGAGATCGTGCCATTGCACTCCAGCTTGGGCAACAGACATAGATCCTGTCACAAAAAAAAAAAAAAAAAAAAAATCGTGAGTCTTGGCTAAAAATTAGGGACCCTTATTTTATTTTTTTTGTCTCTATTGGGAGCCAAGACAAGCGGCTTACCCTTTTGGAACCTCAATTTTCGTTTCTATAAAAATGGGGCTATGATGTGCCAGTGAGATCTGGGAGAGTGAAGTGAGAGGGTCTATTACAAATAACAGGTACATGCTTAACACGTGTTAATGATTTGTTTCTCCACCCGTCCTGGGAGATTGGTGCTTTTTTAATCCCCATTTGACAGATAAGGAAGTTAAGGTTTGCAAAGGAAAAGGGACTTGGCTAAGATTACTCAGCTGGTAAAAGCAAAACATTCACAGAATCTTGACTCTTTAGGGATGGCTTTTCCCTTTGGTGTCTGTGTGGAAGCTACACAGCTGGTACTGGGAGCCAGAGCGGTGGGTCGAGCAGCAAAGAATAATGTTCCCTTTTCAACTGTGGGACCAAGGCTTTAGAGAGAATGGGCTGCTTATTCTCTGTAGAGAGAATTGCTAGTATCGAGGCCATATTCTCACAAGGCCTGCTGAGCGTTTCAGCCCTGGCTGGCGCTGTGAGTGGTGAGAAAATTCTAAGGGCCGCACTAACTCTGGGTCTATGTTTCAGAAAACCACCACCGCTTCGACCCGTCCAAATCCTCCACCTTCCAGAATATGGACAAGTCCCTGTCCATCCAGTATGGCACGGGCAGCATGCAGGGCTTGCTGGGCTACGACACTGTCACCGTAAGTGAGGCTGCGCCGCAGGTGCTCACTGCGCTTTTCCCAAGTGCCTTTCCATGTGCCGTTCCCACGGGCCGCTCTCCCTCCCGCACGCTCTGGTGGCTGCACTGCCACTGTGCCGAGGAGCCCTTTGGGTGCTACCTGCCCAGGTGACTCAGGGGGTGAGGAGAGGGATTTTAGCCAGCAGGCAGCTGTCGGCTGTCCCTTCCTCCTGCCTCTCCTTGCCGTGGCAGCACACAGAGGACCCCGAGGGCCCTCTCAGGTCCGGGTTCCCGGCTCCCCGATCCTTTTTCATGCATCCTTGGCACAGTTCGTTCTGAATTCTGAGCTGGTGCTCAGTGTCCTATTATGATCTTACTTTTAAATTTCGTTTTTCTGACAGCCCTTTGAGGAAAGTATCATTATCCTCATTGTTCAAATGAGGAAACTGAGGCTTGGATATGTTGCTAACTCACCTGAAGTCACATAGCTGGGGCAGGGGAAGCTGAGTGTGGGTCTTTACCTCTGACTCTCTGAGCAGTCCACTTGGCTTGACCTCACGCTTTGCAAGTCAGAGCAGCATCTTCTTTCAGGTCCGAAAGCACCCGTCCCTCTAGGATAAGGGCTCCCCTTTCCCTTGACTATTTTTGGCCTCCAAAGTACCTAATACAGTGATGGGCACATAGTAGGTACCCAAAGCACGTTTCCTTCCGCGTGCACCTTCTGATATGAGAACTCCAGCGGTGTCTCTTGGGGTTGACCACCTTGATTTTCCTCAGGCTCTTCCTTGGGTCTGGCTGAAGTCTTTCTTGCTTTGAGTCCAGAAGGGTACAGTCCTTCTCTGTAGACAGACAGTATTTTTCTTGGTGGGCAGGAACCCACCAGGGTATCCTGCTCAGGCCTCCCCAGGAGTCCACGCCAGATAGCAGAGGTCTCGGCATTGCCTGCTGAGCTGCCCAGCAGTCAGGCCTTTGCCAGCCAGTTCCCCTGCCCTGTCCTGCTTCGTCTGCTGGCCTGAGCCATTCGCCTTCTTCCCTGCTGTTTTGGGTGCATCTTCACTGGAGAGCTGGCCTGGTGCCTGGCCATCTCAGCGGTGCTGCAGTGGGTTGCTGTCACTCACCACCTTGGGCAGGGCGTGGGGAAGAGAGCTTCGTGGTCAGCCCCACTCAGTGGTCTCGTGTGGAAGCAGAACAGGTGTGGGGTGGGGCATGTCGGACACCCTTGCCTGCTTTGGGGCTGGCCCCACACAGGTCTCTGCCTCTGTATGTTTGGGCCACAGTTGCCTAGGGCCAGTGTGGGGGCTAGGCTAAATGGGGAAGTCATCCCAGCTCCCTGTTTCAAGCAGGAAGGTTTTGGGGGAGGAGGAAAGATGAAGAAGTCTAGTAGCCCCATCCTGGCACCTGGCTCAGATGATAGGAGGGAAATCAGGGTCAGGAACAGGAGAACAGGAGAAGGGGTTGCTCTGGGAGCTGTGGGCAAAGCAAGGGGGGCTGTAGGCACAGGCCGTGGGGGACCACGGAGCTCTATTCAACCCAGGGCCCCCATCCAGGAATGTCCTGAGGAGGAGCCCAGAGAAGTGGGTGCGGGGTGCTAAACTTCGAGGGGAAGGGGACCCATGGCACTGGGCACTGCAGACAGGTGCAGGGCTCTGGGTTGAAGACACAGATATTTCTCCATCGAGCTGTGTGACTTTAGGTAAGCCTCAGTTTCCTCATCTGTAAAACAGGTGTAATAATACTTACTTCAGAGGGCCATGGTGAAGATTAAACACACCAAGTATTCATTATTTGTTTGTCCTTTCATTCCCCATGCCCCATCTGTCCCCACATCCTGTTGGCCTCCTTCACAACCCAGCGAGGATCTGACCACCTTGAATACCTCCCCGGGCGCCTCTGGTTCCGCGTGGCTGTCTCTCCCCTGTTTGACTGCAGCAGTCTCTCAGGGCACTCGCTGCTCCTGTCCTTGTCCTGCCACCATCTGACACAGCAGCCAGAGCAATCCTTTAAAAATCTAAGTCCTGGGCCAGGCGTGGTAGCTCACCTCTGCAATCCCAGCACTTTGGGAGGTCGAGGCAGGTGGATCACAAGGTCAGGAGTTTGAGATCAGCCTGGCCAAGATGGTGAAACCCTGTTTCTACTAAAAATCCAAAAAATCAGTTGGGTGTGGTGGCAGGTGACTGTAATCCCAGCTACTCGGGAGGCTGAGGCAGAGAATTGCTTGAACCTGGGAGGTAGAGGTTGCATTGAGCCGAGATTGCGCCACTGCACTCCAGCCCGGGCAACAGAACCAGGCTCCATCTCAAAAAACCAGCAAGCAAACCAACCAACCAACCAACAAACAACTAAGTCCTGTCATGCTCTCCCTTTGCTCAAAATCTTCCTTGGGCTCCTGGTCTCACTCGGAGTCAGTGAAGAACCCTCCATGACTGGGCCCCATCTCCTGGCCTCTGGCCTCCTCTTCCCTCTCTGCTTCATTTGCTGTTCCCTCCGCCCCACGTGCACCCTGGGGGACTGGACTCTCTCAGGCTGCCCTCGGCCAGCCGTGCATTTCCCACACATCTCCAGTGCTCCTTCTTCAGCCTCTGCCCGACATCATTTATCAAGGAGGCCATTTCCCACCATTGCATAAAATACCCTGCTGCCTTTTTGCCTTTGCCCTGATTTATGTTTCTTCAGTGTGCTTGCTCCATCTGACGTGTTCTACATTACTTCTTTAAAAAACTTATGGCCTGTCTCTCCACTGGAATCTAAGTTCCCCAGGGCAGGCAGTTTCTTTGGTTCATTGCTATGTTGGAGGCCTTCAATCACTGTTTTGTGGCAGAAAGAAATCATGATTGCATGCACTCTTTAGCACTTAACCAAGACTGTTTATTCATTCCACAAAAGCTTATGGAGCCTCATTCTCAGAACTGAGGATACAGTGATGAACAAGAAGGACAAAGGGCTGCCCTCCTAGCGCTTACACTCCATTAGGGGAGACAATGTGTAAGCAAGATGACTTTACAACGAAACCAGAAAGCATGAAAGAGAGTGCCTGGGGGCAGGGGCCAGGGTCAGCGGACATGATGGCTTGTTGCAGGCTGAGGGCTGAATGAAGTGATTGTAGATGCCAGACCTCAGGAGATCTGGGGGAAGGCAGAGGGAGCAGTAAGTGCAAAGGTTTTGGGGCAGGGTGAGTGGGGGTATCTGGATGAGGGGAAGACCAGCGTGGATGCAGCAGAGTGAGAGGAGGTGGGGAGGCAGAACCAGGGTGTGAGGGGACTCCAGCACACAGGCTTCATTCTCAGTCCACCGGGATCTGCCGGAGGGTTGGAGCAAGGGGCAGCAGTACTGGATTTTACTTTTACTTATGTTTATTTTATTTAAATTTTTTCCTTTTTTCCTTTTTTTTTTTTTTTTTTGGACACAGCGTCTCACTCTGTTGTCCAGGCTGGAGTTCAGTGGTGCAGTCATAGTTCATTGTAGCCTTGACCTCCAGGGCTCAAGGAATCCTCCAACCTGGCTGATTTTAAAACATATTTTTTAGAGGCAGGATCTTGCCATGCTTCCCAGGCTGGTCTCAAACTCCTTCTCTCAAGTGATCCTCCTACCTCAGCCTCCCAGGTAGCTGGGACTACAGGTGTGCACCACTGCACTGGCTTTGATTTCCATTTTTAAAGATCACCTTGGCTGCCCTGTGTGGAGGGTGGATTAGAAGGGGCAGAGTGGAAGCAGGAAGGCTGGTCCAGGTCACTTTGGTGGTCAGAACAAGAGGCAGTAGTGATCAGAGTAGGCTGGTGGATACATCAGGCATCCAGGGAAGTGGGCAGCTTAAGAAAATATTTTGGAGTTAGCACTTTCTTAGTATAGTGCCAATCGGTATTCAACAATCAAACACTTAGTACATGTCAATAAATGTTCGGTGTTAGTATTATTTAGTCTGAACACTGTCTTGAGGTGTAGGTATTATTATTCCCTTAAACAGATAAGAGGATTGAGGCTCGGGGAGGTACTTGTCCAAGGTCACACGGTCAGCACGTGGCAGAACAGGAGCCCACGCCTGGGTCTTGGAGACGTAAAGTGTGTGCATGTTCTTTTTGGACTTCCTGCTGCCTCTATGGCTGTTTGCTGGGAGGTGTTCCAGGCACAGCTGGTGGGAGGGCTGCAGGCCTGCAGAGGGCCTCGGACCGTCCCTCCTTCTGCCTCCTTCTTTGAGCTCCACCCAGCTTTTGCACAATGAGCAACAGTGTCTGTACCCACCTGGTCCTCCATTCCCCTCCTCCCCTGCCTCATTGGAGCAATTCCTCAAAGTCATTGCACTAACTGCTGGCAAAGGAGAGGAGGTTTCTTTGTTGTTGTTGTTGTTTTGTTTTTGTTTTTGTTTTCTTTCTCTTAAGGGCAAATAACTATGTTGCCAATAAGAGGAAGGGCACTGGAACTGGCTCCTGACCCGGGACTGGCTGCCCCCATGCCTGGGATGTTTCTGTCTCTGGCTGTGGGACCTAGTGGGGGTCGTTATGATTCTCTTGCAGGTCTCCAACATTGTGGACCCCCACCAGACTGTGGGCCTGAGCACCCAGGAGCCTGGCGACGTCTTCACCTACTCTGAGTTCGACGGGATCCTGGGGCTGGCCTATCCCTCTCTTGCCTCTGAGTACTCCGTGCCTGTGTTTGACAACATGATGGACAGGCACCTGGTGGCCCAAGACCTGTTCTCAGTCTACATGAGCAGGTAAGAGCTGCACCAGGCCAGGGCCTAAGTTTGATGTCCTCATAAGGACTGCTGGCTGCGGGGAGTGTCCACTCCTTGGGGACACTGCAACTCAAGGGTAGTCGCCAGCATCCAAGCAGACCTTCTCCTTCTTTCCAGGCACATCCAACCTCTTGTTCAAAGGTCCATGATACAGTCATTTATGTGGCCAGAGTTCACTGGACCAAAATCTGACCTTCCTTTCTGGCATTCAAAAACAAAGCCTGGTCCTACCTCTGTGTAGGGGCTTTCAGGTTCTTTTTCCCAAAGCTGCAGGGCCTCAATAACCATTTGCTGACGTCATTGAGATGCACGGATGTTTAGAGCTGTCTCCAAAGGAGTCCAACTACTCCTTTGACTGGGGAGGAAGCTGAGGCCTGGGCAGGGACTGACACCCTGAGTGGTGATGGCTGAGCCAGACCTGGAGCCCGGGGCTCCTGCTCCCAACCCTGCACTTCCTACTCTATCTCCTGCACCCTGTGACGACGCAGCTTGGCTCAGACTGAGGGAAGGGTGGCAGGGAGGAGAGAAAGGGACCCTTCCCAGGAGAAGTTGCTGCATGGCTGAGGCAGAGGAATGAAGTTTGGGGGTTAGTTAGTGCATTCATTCACTCAGTAGATACTTACTGGGCCCTTACTATGTGCAGGGGCTGTGCCAGAGATGGGACGCATCAGCAGATAAGACAAACCGGGAGCATTGCCTACACTATTGCAATCGAACAGTTGTGATAAGGCTGCTGCAGGGGAGATTTGGGTGCGTTAGAGGCTGAATAACTGGGGAAGCACCAGCTGAGGGCGGCCAGGGCAGGCTTTGCTGAGGGAGGAGTGGGCATTGTCCAGGGAGAAAGGATACACCAGAGCCGGGAGCTGGGATGGGCTGGATGGGTTCTCGGAGCCCAGGGCAGGGCTCCGGAGGTGGGTGAGTACAGTGTATATTTCCCAGCCTGTGTGAGACACGGCTCCAGGAGGAACTGAGGGGATTTGAGTTTGGGTGACAGTTTCAATCCAAAGTGTAGATTTTGTTGAAGACCCGCCATCCCCCTGGAAGAAGAAAGCCCTGAGTGGCAGCCAACAGGAAGTAGGGGCATAGGGAGCAGCTGGGCACACCTGAGGGTGGCTGGGGCAGAGGCCAGCAGTCCGGGGACCTGTGGGGTGGGTTGCTTCTCTGGGGTCGGGGTGGGGGCTGCAGCGCTCAGGAGAAAAAATGCTGCCACTGACATCAGAGCAAGCCCAGTGGAGGAGGACTCAGAGGAGGCTGGAGACCTCATCTGAAGCGTGGGGTGGGCATAGGGCCAAGGAGAGTGGACCAGGTCTCAGGAGTGTTGGCCCCAGGATGGGGCTGGGCACCTCTTTTCCGAGACTCGCTAAAACAATGCCCCACATCTGGGTTTCAGGAATGAGCAGGGGAGCATGCTCACGCTGGGGGCCATTGAGCCGTCCTACTTCACAGGCTCCCTGCACTGGATACCCGTGACCGTGCAAGAATACTGGCAGTTCACTGTGGACAGGTGGGTGAGCGGCCACCCAGTGTGGGCCTCAGCCAGAGGCTGATCCAGGTGTGGGGATGTGAGGGCCGGGGCATCAGGCCACACACTCTGAGGACCGCAGCACAGTAGCTCCTAAGAACACCCACGAGAATCAGAACTAGATACTTCCAAGGCCAGTGATCTTTGTCGGCGCCAGTGCCACATATTCTCCGGCGCTTTAGGAGGAATACCAGTTATCTTTATGGGGCACCTACCGTCTGCCAGGCACTGTGCTGAATGATTGTATGACTGTCTCACATATTCCTCACTGAGACCCCATGAGGAGGTGGGTGCTGCTGTTACCCCCACTTTACAATGGACTAACCTCACGTTTGAACCTCACGGCCATCTCTTGAGGAAGTCAAGGAAGGGGTTATTAATGTATCCATTTTGTAGATGGGAAGCCTGAGCACACAAAGGTTGGGTAACTGGCTGGAGACACACAGCAAGTAAATGGGAGAGTAAAAGCTGGAAATCAGATCTCAGGCAAGGAGTAAGGTACACGTTCCACCCCTTAATGCGGGTGAATTTGTTGTTTTATTAAAGTTTCTGTCCCATGGAAGGTGGGTTGTCCTCAATTTAGCCACTGAGTTGGAAGTACGTGGTTTTAGGTCTTTTCTCTGTGCTCAGAAAGTACTGGGGGCTCCAGGAAGGGGCCCCAGGGAAGGGGCTGAGGGCTGGGGGCCTTCCCTCCCTACTACAGATCCCGGCAGGGGAGGGTGGGAAGGACCTGCGGAGGGAGGGCTGGGATGAGGCCATCCTGTGTACCCTGGACAGTGTCACCGTCGACGGCGTGGTGGTGGCCTGTGATGGCGGCTGTCAGGCTATCCTGGACACCGGCACCTCCATGCTGGTGGGGCCAGGCAGCGACATCTTCAACATCCAGCAGGCCATTGGAGCCACTGAGGACCAGTACGGTGAGGTGAGGCCAGGCCCCACTGCCACACGAGGTTCCGTTGAAGTTGGGCCCCTTCACACAAATGAGATGATGCAGGGGTGGGGAGGGAGCCCATTTCCCAGCTGAGGTTGCGGTTTCTCAAGAGCCCTTTGCAGGGGCCTATGGCTTTGGCTCTGCTGCTGTGGGAGCCCCCATGCTTCATGTGGCAGCTGCCATCTGACCTCCTGTTCCTCTGGGAGCAGTGCCCTCCCTGACACGCTGGCCTGTGCTGGCCTGGCCTTGTTCCTCCTCCACCCCCAGGCCTGCCCCTCTCCCCTTGACAGCCAAGTGCTCCCAGCTTCCCTGTGAGCTCTGGCTGGGCCTAGACGGGGAGACACTGAGGCAAGCCCCCTGGGTCCCAAGCTTGGGTCTGTCCCTGGGCTCATGACAGCTGTGACTCTTTTGAGAACCGTGTCTCGGGACCAGGCCTCACCCTGAGAGCCTCCTTGTGGTCCTGGGTGTAGGCAGGGCCCACTGCCCACCTGATGGCTCAAGAGGTGGCGGGAGGGGTTCTGGGCCTCTGCCAGTCGGGTTATACCCTCGCCGCTTCTAAGAGGACCTCCCTGGGTTCTTTAGTTTGACATCGACTGCGGGAGACTGAGCAGCATGCCCACGGTTGTCTTTGAGATCAATGGCAAGAAGTACCCACTGCCACCGTCCGCCTACACCAGCCAGGTACGAGTCCCAGACAGGAAGCCTGGGCTCCTCCTCACCCTCTTTCCTTACCAGCCGCCTCCCCACCTCCCAGTTGGGCTCCTGGTGAGGCAGTGATGGTGGCGATAAGAAGTGGCATGGACTCCACAGAGAATGGAGGGGCATGCATTTGGACGACCAGCCCTTCTGAGTGGGCCTTGTTGTCTTGGGGCTTCATTTGTGGCCACTTCGGCCTCATCCTGGGAAAAATAGGGAACAGGAGGGATGGCGCACCGAGGTGTGAGGGAGGTTGAGGTAGACAGGCCCGCAGCTCCCCATGGGAACCTCCCTCCCTGCTCAAGCTTCTAGGTCCCAGGGCCTAGAGCTCTGTCCAGGGTTTGCTTAGCCAGCCTGGGCTTGGTGGTCTCAGCCCTTGGCCCCACTGACCTGCTCTAGCTGGCCATCAGGGCAGTAGGTGCTGACAGCGGGGGGCAGGGGCTGGGGAGGGCGAGTGATGGCGAGTGGGGTGCCGTGCAGGGAACGGGGCTCAGGATGCCAGGACCCCACCTGCGATCTTGGATTGTGTCATTTCATTCTTTGAATCTTCATGTCTTCATCTGTTGAGAGATGAATCCAATACTTAATTGTTTATCTGGGAAGGTCATTTCAAGGAAAAAATGGAGTCACAGAGGAGGAGCAGCTGTGGGTGGGGTATAAAATACCCATCTTTAGGCACAGCAAATGGGATTGGGACCAGTGTCATCTCCGCCTTGCCTTTCCCAGGACGACGGCTTCTGCACCAGTGGTTTCCAGGGTGACTACGGCTCCCAGCAGTGGATCCTGGGGGATGTCTTCATCCGGGAGTATTACAGCGTCTTCGACAGGGCCAGTAACCGTGTGGGGCTGGCCAAGGCAATCTGAGTGCATCACCAGCCACAGACCTCGATGTGACCAAACACACACACGCACACAGAGGGGATGTGCAGACAGATGGTTCCCAATAAACACCGCACTTCTGCAAAGCCTGACTTCCCTTGTTGTCACTGGGGCTGAAGCCATGTGCCGTTGTGAGGGTGGATGTGACTGCCAGGTGGTGTGTGGGCACAGCGGGGACTCTGTGGTGGGGAGGGTTGCGGGGTGGAGACTACCTTGAGGGCAATGGCTATTTCGAGCTCAGGTCAGGGAGGACCAAGTCACTCCTTACCTACCTGTCCTTCACTCTAGAGATTTCTGGGCAAAAGGCACAGGAGGAGACACCCTTTCAGGATTAGACTTGTTTGTTCCTGGGGAATAAGAGGTAAGGTCATGGTGGTGTGGGGATGACTAGAGAACGCTTGGCCCCTGGAGAGGAAGGCTCTAGCTGTATGAAGAGGGGGGCTCACTGCTGTTGGAAGAAGCCAGATGAAAGAGTGGACAGGGAGCACGGGGAAAGATCTGAGTCGTAGGCTGCCATCCACCGTGGGGAAGAGCCACAGTCCAGAATCCCATCCTCAGCTCAGGGGCTCAGGGGCTCAGGCGCTGCAGTGCTCAGCGCGGTGCCATTGCTGACGGCAGGCTCGTGTTAAACTGGCTTTCAGAGGCTGATGTGTCAGAGCTGGATGCCTGTGTTCAGAGTCCCTGTGAGTGCCCAGGCTCACAGAGCCCTATACATGCTTCTGGGGGATGGCCACGCAGGAAATCCAAACATTACAGGGTCACGCAAGGGCAGTCAGGTAACTTTAGGAAGGTTTTCTCGGTGATGCTACTTTGAGGCCCCTCAGCTGCTTTGGGAGGTAGGTCTTGGGGAGATGACGGTGCTTGGAGTCTGCTTGTTAGACTCCCTGGACAGTGCTCTGCTGGGAGCTGCATGTGTCTGCTCTCCAGCTCTCCTTCCTTTTTCTTTGCACCCCCTTCCCATTTTAGACAGTCTTTTCCCCGTCAGGGGGAAGACAGTTGACCAGGCGTTTGTTTTCTAAATCAGAGCTAGTCTTGTCTCCTCTGCTTCACCCATCCCAAAGAGTGATCCGACTTTGTCACACCTTTATAGCAGTTCAACCCTCAGAAGGCCGTGGGAAGCGGGCGGGGCCGTCTTGCTATCTAGCCCCGCCCCTACCTCAGGCTGACCACAGGCCTGCCCTGCAAAGAGCTGGAGCAGGTGAGTAAGGCCCATGTCTGCAGGAGCCAGAAGCTGCAGGTTTGACAGTGACACTTCACAAAGGAGACTGTTGTTCATGAGGAGTGAGGTGGGGGCAGGCGTGGAGCGGGCTCTGACTTCCTTCTCCCTGTGGCTGCTGCCGACGGGATCTGGTTGACAGGCCATCTGGGGGCATCTCCTGGGCCTTTCTTAGCAGCACCCAAGGACAAACGAGATGAGGGGCCCAGGGCAGCGGAGGTGCTGTCTGTGGTGCCTGTCTGGGCTTGTGGCTGTGCAGCCAGCTTGGCCACAGAGGCAGAGAAGAGGCTGGGCTGTGGGGGTGAAACGGAACAGGAGCTGCTATCCCTGGGTGAGCCGAGGAGCCTGGTGTGGGATGGGGCAGAGGCCACAGGAGAACACCCCAGAACTTCAAGGACAGAGGGTAGTGCCAGCAATGTGCATGCCTTGGCATTTGAGTCTTACTGGGCCGGTGAGGTGAGCGAGGTGCCAAGGAGTCAGTCTGGCTTTGGGAGGCTTCTCTAAGCCTCGCTGTTCTTATCTAGGACCAATACTACGTTTGCCAAGAGTGAGACAGAATTGGGCCACTTTCATTATTTTTACGCTTCTTGTATATTTAAAAAAATGCCAAATAAGCTTACACAAATGGTTATAGATTGCAATGGTTTACATTTAGCAACTGTGTTTTAAACACCCACATTCCAACTGGGGATAATGTAGAAAGTCTAAATATAATAACTTTCACAGATGCGAGGTGCGGACCAAACGAGTCTTGCCTCACGCCCTGCCCAGTTGGCCCTGGTGGCGAGCCCTGTTCTGGGAGGGCAGTGAGGGCACACTGGGAGGGCGGTGAGGGCACAGTGGGAGGGCGGTGAGGGCACACCTGGGAGGGCAGTGAGGGCACAGTGAGAGGGTGGTGAGGGCACACCTGGGAGGGCGGTGAGGGCACACTGGGAGGGTGGCGAGGGCACACTGGGAGGGCGGTGAGGGCACAGTGGGAGGGCGGTGAGGGCACACTGGGAGGGCAGTGAGGGCATACCTGGGAGGGCGGTGAGGGCACAGTGAGAGGGTGGTGAGGGCACAGTGAGAGGGTGGCGAGGGCACACTGGGAGGGTGGCGAGGGCACAGTGGGAGGGTGGTGAGGGCACGCTGGGAGGGCGGTGAGGGCACAGTGGGAGGGCGGTGAGGGCACACTGGGAGGGTGGTGAGGGCACAGTGGGAGGGCGGTGAGGGCACAGTGGGAGGGCGGTAAGGGCACACTGGGAGGGTGGTGAGGGCACAGTGGGAGGGCGGTGAGG